CATGGTCGAGGACTGCTACTTATTTACCCTATGGCTGAATCTGAGCCGAATCTTTGAATCCGAACCTGAAAGTGGCTAAATTGAAAAAATCGGGACAGTGACTCAAATCACCAAATCAAATCACTGCCCCTCTGAATTGGCTGAATTGGAATCAAATACTTGCCATTTCACACAGGCCTAATTTTAACCACCAATGCCTACTCCCAAGCAGTCATGCTCTCTCTTTCCTTTTAAAATGGTTAAAAAAGTTAAGACTGCCCATAGCCAAAAGCTGTCAAATTTCCCAGCTTTTAAAAGAGCCTTGTCAATTTTCTAGGTGCTCTGAGAAACAAGGTAATGAGCCTCAGTGAAGTCCAAAAAATTTAGTACAGGCTGTTTCTACAGTTACTGAGGATTGTTTATAATGAATTTAGGTAAATGTATGGCTTTTTTTTCCTTTCAGTTCCCAGTTCCTATTCTTAATTTATAAGGCAACACACATATACCATGTTCTGGACCTGTACAGTCTGAGATATTACAAAATTAGTCACAGAGACATAATGAAAGGCAAATAAAGACTTATACAACTGCTAGCAGCATGCTAATGAGTACTAAGCAGTTACATGCATAGCATACAACCTGCTTCTGGGTAAGTAACAGATAGGTGAACTGGAGCTGAGCAGCTCTCTCTGACACACTTTTACAACTACACTACTATTCTCAACCTTTGCCACAAGTGAGGCATAAAAAAGGGATGGAGGACAATTAATTCTAAATGAATGAATGATGAACAATATTCTGAACAATATTCAGAAAGAACAATATCTGAGAGCAGGGAAGAAGAGACACCCTCCACCCCCATTCCTTCTGCAAGGCTCACAATGTTCAGAAAGAATCAGTTATGGTGTCTATAAATATACTTAAGATTAGCTAAAACCCACAAACCATTTGCGATTAATTTTTCCCTGCAAAAGTATCTCTTTAAATAAAGGATTTTTAGTTATCCTTTGGCTGACTACTTTAATAGAATCAAAACTTCTTACCCCTGAAAAGGCTAGATAAAACTGTCCATGTGTAAACACAGGCTTACGAATATCAATACATATTTTGTCTAAAGTCTGACCTTGCGACTTGTTCAGTCATAGAATGAGAGGGCCCTTGTACACATGATTAAATTGCCCCTTTTAGTGGTTTAACTGCCCTTAATTATTTAATTGCATACCAGCGTATGCGTTCAGCGGCATGTTACGATTAAATTTCATAACAGTGTACATGTTTGGCAGCATACTTCAATGTAAATGACTTCTTTATGTAGCAAACTAAAACACATCCCGTGTAATTTAGTTTGCTATGCAACAAATTATGGCAATACTCCGCAGTGTACAAAGGCCCTATCAGAAGAAGGCGGCAAGATGGTGCACAGGGTGCTGGAAGCTCAGGCGTGGTTGGGGAAGCTTGGGCTTGGTGGGCTTCCAGTGCCCCATGCACCATCCTCACCACCTTGTCTGGTTGCCAGAACACTCAGCTGCCCTCCTGCGGTAGCCAGCCCATTCCTGGGAGGTCCCAGTTGGCAGGGTCTGTGCACAGGGCACTGGAAACCCACCAAGCCAGAGCTCCCGTGAGCATGCCTGGGCTTCCTGCACTTTGTGCACTGTTGGATCCAACGGGTGCTGTCTGTGACCTGAGGCTCCACCCACACAGCTACCACCCTACCTGAGCAGCCCTGGGGGGCACTGCCACCACAGCAGGAAGTTCCAGGCCCCCCTGCAGCTCAGGGTCTGCATGACCCAGTGGCAGGTCACGCGGGCAGGCTCTATGGGGGGGGGGGGGGGGGGGGGAAAAAAGAAAGGAAAG